GCCATTGTAGCACGAAGTGGCATCGACTGCATAAGTGTTACCAAAGTCTATTTGTAAAGTCATCCCTTTAATAGCAGGCTGTTCTTCTCCAGTGGAAACAACCTCATCTCCTAATGCACCACAAATCTTCCTAAACCCTGGCTTAAAAGTGACATTCCCCGAGGTGTTAGTACACTTGTATTACACGCTAGTCCACAATCATCCCACTTCCAATTCATCACAGCTATAAAACTAATGACTAAGCTCTATTTCTGACAGTAGGCTACGAGATACTTTAGCTTTACCTGAAAATAGCCTATTAGCCCATCTTTGAATAACTTGGACGTGACCCTGATTAGGGCAAATTCGTGCTATGGTAATAATCAAATTCGAAAGAACAACCGTGCTTATTTGTGCATGCACCAAAGTGTCCCCCGGGCCTCATAAAGGGCTATTTGGGCATCGCACGGTCGCACACACAATGCTGCAAATAGCTTGTGGTGATGAGACGCTGTGTGTGTGTTTGGGTGTGTGTGTGTGTGTGTGTGTGTGTGTATAATACGGGGGCATGGAAAAACACACACGCAGGTAGACATGGAGGGTCTCGGCGGGGTGAGAAATCAGTGGTGTTTTTTTTTTTACAGCAGCAAATGGATGGGCTCTGTCAACACCGGTGTTTATCCAGAGCTCATAGTGGTACAGTATGTGAGTCAGAGGCCGTTTCCAGGGCCGTATGTCATCCCCTCTTAAAGCCGCACTGACCTTGGCGCGATGGGGGACATGGGAAAGAGGGCGCGGGGAAAGTCAGGGATCCAAATGACACGGGTTTATGTAACGTTTCCCCTAAACTGGAGAGGGATGGGTTGATATGTTATAGATATAAGGGATTTGTGAAGTTAAGATGTGTGTATAGAAAAGAATTGGACGCATGGATGTGATGGCGGTGGAGGAGGAAGTAGTCCAGAAATTAGTCAGAGCAATTGTGTGGAATGCTAGTTGTCGCTAAATGAGAAAACTCTCCTCAGACCTTTGACAGTTGTACATTTCTGCAGATTCAGTGAAATAGTAAAGTTAGAATTGTGTAAAGAAAGTGGAGAATAATTCAAACTGCTGCTATTATTATGTCACATGGTTAACTATTTTGCATTCATAAAAAAGCAAACATTCAAAGAAAGCACAACAATAAGTATAGAGCACCATATGAGGTATCATGATAATAATAATGTATGGAAAACTCATTGTAAAGCTTAAACAGAGAAAAGCTGTTTAGATTAGACACAAACAAATTCAAGGAGTCAGATTCTGGCCTAGACTTGAAAAACGTTTTTTTTTTTTTTTTTTTTTTTTTATTGGGTCAAAATAATACAACTTTTATGGGTCCGTAAGGTTTGATACTAGTAAAACGTATCAAGAAATGGCTCAAGAAATGTTATTCATTCATTCATTTTCAACTTCTTTATTAGTCCATTTCTGGGTCGAGGGGGGTGGCAATGAGAGCTGCCACCCACTAGCGAATGACGTCACTAAGACACGCCCCCGCCGCCTGTCAACTCCCGCCCACATGTTTCGGACAAACACTGCACAAATGAATCAAATACCACTTGTCACTTTAGACAAAAATGATATACCAGGAGCAAAATTCCACCATCAAACCATCAGGGATCATAGTGTAGACTAATTAAAACGTTGGTAGAAAGTTTGAATTGATAAAAAGGTAATGGTGAGGATTATGCTAACATTATCATTGTCATTTATTTATTTATTTGATCGGGACAACACATATTAATGAATAATCATATACAAGTTGTACACAATTTGTAAATGTGCCAGATTGTAGCAAAACTGCTAATTTACATCCGTTAACATTAAATTGCAATGCTAGCGCCTTCTTTGTTTATTTTGCTGTGATTAACTTTCATTTATCAAGTTGTTTTTTGCACTGTCCACTTTGTAATTAGTTTGATCATTAGTTAGCTACTGTAAGCCGATATTATAATAGATCCATGGGGTCACAACGGGCTACGCCACTACTGTCTCAGAGAGAAACTATCGGAGCTAGCTGCACTCAATAAACGCAAATGACAATCATTCGACACATTTAAATGTTAATGGGGGAAAATATTATACATACAGTCGTAACACACGTGCACGGAGGTTTTCAGAAGTATCTGTTTTTATGACAAAAATATTTTAATGCGACTAAAGCGATCGCTTTTTTGAAGTAGGTTAACCAGCCTCACTGTTACTCGCCTGCCACAGGAACACCTTTGAACTACTTTCTTTGCACTCATTAAATAAACCTTTCGGAATTAGTAAAAGTGACTAAAGTTAATTTTGTGTGTTCAGTTCGTACAAAGCCGTATAATAAGCGGACCCCAACGCGCTTTGTCTGTACTTATTTTCCGATAGTCACTAAATTGAAAAAATCCCTCTCATCTTTCTTCAGGTGTGAGAATTGTATACATTCTGGATTAGGTCGTCGGTTCAATTCCCACCTCTACACCTTCTCCACCGACTCCCACTGATGACTGTCGCTGTGTCCTTGGGCAAGACGCTTAACCCCACTCTGCCCAAAGCCCCCACTGAAAGATCAAGGCTATGCTCACACTCAGAGAGCAGCCGTCTTCCTGTGGACTCACCACCTGCAGAGGGTCAGTGAGGGGCTGGTGCTATGAGACTTGGGTGGCATCTCTGATTGCCACCCCCCTGACCCAGAAATGGATTAAAGGGTAGAAAATGGATGGATGGATGGATGGGGTAAATGGTATAAAGAGAAAGTTTGTGCTAACTACATTCAGAAGAGCTCAGACGGACCTGATCCAGCGGTCCAGATCCAGTCCCAGCTAAACGTAGCTAGGACTGGACCTGGATGCTCCACAGTTGGTCCAGCTTCACAGACCAAGTGTTTTGAAAAAACATGTGTCCTTTTTAACATTTTCATGAGAGAAATTCTGCCGACCACAAGCACCCACCTCTTGCACTTGTCCTGGTCTGGTCCTGGTCTGGTCCTGGTCTGGTCCTGGTCTGGTCCTGGTCTGGTCCTGGTCTGGTCCTGGTCTGGTCCGATGGTGTGGTTTAACGAACGGGTTGAATGTTACTGCTTTCATATAGTCCTTTTCAGAGTATCTGAAATTGCTCCGACAAGCACCATAACTGCAGTGTTTTGTTGTCACCATGATTCAATGATTTAGCCCAAGTAAATACACACACGTATGTGGCGAACACAGTAGTACTCAACGGAGTCGGACACAATGTTTGTCCGAAACATGCGCGCATGCGCAGTAATCTGAGCTATTTTTAGCACATTTCGGAAACCGGACAGTGCCCTATGTTCATAGCACCAGTCCCTCACTGATCTTCCAGCAAGTGGTGGGTCCATGGGAAGATGGCTGCTTCATCAGCGGTGACACAGACTTCAGCGGGGGCTTCAGGTAATGTGGGCTTAAGTGTCTTGCCCATGGACACAACGACAGGAGACATGAGTGGGAGAAGTTGGAGTAGGTCTCCAACTTCAGGCCCAAAGGCCAATGCTCTACGAACTGAGCCACTGACGCCCCAGATATTTTATTTTATTGGTATTTTTAAGCAAGGCAATTTATATATTGAAAAGTTTCTTCCCCATGTTTAGTCCTGACTTCAGCAGGAGGCCAGTCCCTATGCTCCTCAGAGTCCGAGTTGGTTCATATCACACTATTGGTTCCCACACCATGGAGAGACATGCACACAGAGCTGCTTTAAAGTCTATTCTCTGAGCCACAGGAAGCAGAGACCTGAGAACTGGACTAATGTGATCGTACTTCCTGGTTCTTCCTGGACAGGACTTGAGCTGCAGCTATTTAGCTACCAGATAGTTTTGATGCGAACTTCAATCCTTAATACGTTTCAATACTTTTGACAGCCCTATCAAATAAATACCCGTATAGAATACAGGTTACTTTCGATGACCCTCAAATATCCATGAGAATCAAGCCATTATTAAATCCAACTGAATAAAATATAACATGAGACCAAGTTAGCATAAAGGTGCAGCTATTTACGGCTTCATCAAACGTAGAAACAGACTTTAAACACTTGTGACATATTCTGTGACCGTTACCCATGATTGCGAACACGTCGGAAAGGGTTTAGCCGTATTTATCATCAGCTAGGTTAAAGATACAAACTGTTAAGGGAACTTTATTGCAACAATTATAAACAAGTGGAGCGAGGAGCTGACAGACGGGTGTGGGGTCTGCTCCGCCGGGACCAGACCACTTCATGTATTTAGGTCGTTTTAGGATTGTGTGTTTAACCGACGCTCTGTTTACTGAGCAGCTGCAGAGGGCTGGACACACACCTGCTGAAGTGATAATATCTAATGCAGCAACTAAATTTACACAATCTTGCACCTAAACTTTATATGAAGCTGTTTCACAACAAAACTAGAATTAGACACAAAAGTGTTAAAATGTTAAAAATGTTATTTTTCATATCAGGCATGTCCAAACTTAGGCCTACGGGCCAAATGCGGCCTTCTGTGTTATATTATGTGGCCCTCTGAGTAATAATAAAGATCTTAAAAACAAGTTCATAGAATCATCCAGCCAACTTCAGCTCTGCCAGTATAGGCATGGTATACCTTGTGGTAAGTTCAGAATCTCTAGAATCCAGTGGTTTACTTTATTTGTATAGAAATGTCTGTGTTTTTGATTGTGTCTCATAATTCCATATATGGCGCGAATGTAGCTGTGGTCAGATTGTTCACACAAGTACATGTATACCTCATTTCTGTTAAATAAATGTAGACATATCATACCATTTTAAAGCTCAGAAACTTGTCCAGGGGCCAACATCTGTGGTGTTGGCCCCTGGACAAGTTTCATGAACTAATGTGGCCCTTGTACAATAAGTTTCACCCCTGCTTTAAATAGATAAAAGTCGTTGGGTGTTTTGGCAACGTTGGTCAAGGTGGGCAGTCGGTATCGCATGATACGAACCGGAAAGTGGTGTGTGTGCGTGTGTGTGTGTGTGTACAGGCGTACCAGCTGTGCGGTGTCCTGCAGCAGAGGCAGCAGGGAGGCCTCCAGCAGGGAGATCTGGTCGGGGGGAAGGCCTTGCCACAGAGACAGCAGCAGCACGAGGAGGTGAGTGCCGCTCCTCAGACGAGCAAAGGCCTGGTCCAACTGGGTCTGGATCTCCTCTGCAGCCTCAGCCAACGACATCATCTGTGGCGGACACCAGAGGAGTCAGAGTGTTAGCAAAACTCAACTTTTAACTGTGAGAAGGGCCCTCCATGCAATTGTATGAGGCCCTCTGTATTGCTAACACAAACAAGTCGTCTTTAAGACCATACACACAAGTTCAGTGTCACCCAGACAACTTAAGCACCACCAACAATAGCCCGTTACACCTCGTGATACAGACATGTCTTTTTGAATGTAGGACACTAATGCATCTGATGAGCTCTGTCAATCTATGTCTATATCTCTGAACCGATAAAGACATGTCATGCCTCATTTTAAAGCTCAGATCCTGGACAATGTTGCTGAACTAATCAGAATCAGAATCAGAATCAGAATCATTTTTATTGCCAACGTAAGTAACAGGAGGTCACAGACTTGGAAATTGCTTTGGCTCAGTGCAACAGTCAAAAAGAGATAATAAAAATAAGAATAAAAAACACTTCTAAAGAATAAATTTAAATTTAAAATAGAGTTACAGTTACTATTTACAATATACAAGTGCACATGGTGCACACAATGTAAGGTGACTAATGTGGTCATTAACACCCCTGTGCTAAAGCCTTATTTACTTCATATGGTATTTTTACGTTAAAAATAGTATTGAGATTGTTCTGACCTTCTCACGGTCTCAAAAACTCACTCCATATAAAGCACCATTCAGTTCATTATTTTAGATTTTTATGTCTTACTCATTTCCCCACTGCAGGACAACTAAAGGTTTATCTTATTAACCTGTCCCTGCGTAAAGCGTCTTTGAGAGTGCGCCATGTAAGTAGGATGCTTTTTGAAGTATTTTGTTTTACACATTTTTGAATAGTATTTTTGACAGAGCCTTTTGATTTTGTTTATGAGTAAAGTAAAGTTTACTCACTCACCATTCTGGACATTTGTGAGACAAAACGGCCAACAACCACAACACGACCTGGGGTTACGAGCCGAGCGAGAACGTTCAGAGTCGAGTCCAAACGATCGGGTTACGCTGTAGATTCAAAAACGTGTCCAACTATTCTGACAAGTTTTGACATCCGTGATTTTTAGATCAATATTATAAAGTAGAGCAACACTTAAAGGCACACCGTGTAACTCTTGGCCACTAGGGGCGCTAGACCTGCAACTTTCACGTTTAGCGCCCCTAGTGGCCACAAGCAACTCAGCACTGTCGCAAAAGTCAACAAACAGTCAGCCGGTGTCTTTTGAGTGTGTAATCAGACAGCATGCACTGGTGTGTGTGTTCAAACTGTAGAGACATGCCTACAGATATTGAGAGACTCTGCTGTGGTCAGCCTCCAGACCGCTGCATTAGTAATCTACCACACATGGACTTCTATATCCTGGATGAGGGAGTTCTGCGTCTAGCTCGTGCTGCGTGGAATGACATCTTTGCAGTCGATGACATCCAGGAACCAGGTGAAGAGCAGCGCTCATACAGACATGCAGCTTACAGCACGATCCCTTTCGCGTTTCCTCTTTTTAGCCTCCTCCGAAGGTTTAAAATTTTTCCTTGCCTCAGCCATGACCAGGAGTCGAGCAGGTGAAAAATGAGTAGCAAAAGCCTTAGCTCCATGAGTATATCAGCGCCTGTAGCCGTAAAGCAAGTCTTTCTTCCAAGTCACGTGACCTGGTGGCAGACGGTCCGTCTGCTCGAAACTTACATGGGCGGTATTTCAAGAGGGCAGCCCCGCTCGGAGCATTGCAAGTGTCAAGCGCTGTATATTGGCCCAAGTATTCATATAAAATAACTCATATGTGTCAACTCTTTAGGTCACAAAGTCCGCGGTGTGCCTTTAAAACAAGCTTTTCGGCTGAATGTGTCCAGTGTAGCTGTGATTACACGGCGACTGCGGGGCCTTGGAGTGGCACAAACAAGAGCTGAAAGGCGGCTTTGAAATGACACTGGCTCCGACCTCTCCATGGTTTGGTTAAGCACTCAGAGGATGAATGAATGAACGCATGGATGAGGCGCGGTGTAGGTTGGACGAACTATGACCTCCAGCCCAGGGGTCAATCCCACCGTCACCTCCGTCATTACGAACCCGAGAGCGAAGATGAGTGGGCTTCCATGAACGAGCGATGACAGAAGACAGATGCGAGCGCGGGACGGACAAGAAAGGACAAGTCGGGAGCCAGAGAGGGAGAGAAACGGGAGCCGGGAGAGGAGGAGGAGACGGAGCAGGAGGTGAAAGCAGATCTGCGGCTAATGGAGCCGTGTGTGTGCAGGCGAATGAGTGATCGCGCCAACCACTCTCTTGTTTGACAAATGGAGAGGTCGAGGCTATCTGTTACTGCTCAAACAAAGATGGAAGGCTCAGGAGTGAAGAGCGGTGACGTGAGGGAGAGTGAGAGGTGATGGCCAAAGTAAGATGTTTTTTGGATATCTGAAATCCCATGCGGCCATATTGTGTAGGCCACGGCAGGAGTAGGGTGGGCAGTGGGGAGATAAAAGCCCTGTTTCCACCAGCCCTACTCTACTCTACTTAGCCTTTCTCTACTCGGCCTGACTCGACTCAACCCTTACTCTACTCTACTCTACTCTACTCTACTCTACTCTACTTCTTCTCCCTCTCCTCTACCCTATTCTACTCTACTCTACTTCTTCTCCTCCTCCTCTAATTCTTCTCCTTTACCCTACTCTACTTCTTCTCCTTCACCTCTACCCTACTTCTCCTGTTCTAATTCTTCTCCTTCTCCTTTACACTACTTCTTCTCTTCTCCTCTACTCTACTATTTCTCCTCTAATCTACTTCTACTCTTACTCTTACTCTACTCTGTTGTGTTTCCATTATTCTTTATTAGCTGGCACTTTAGTATCTAGCAACCTATTCACAAGTAACTAGTATCCTTGGACATTCCTTGGTGATCATGCTTCAAGCTAGGCCTGGACCAAGTCCTAGAACCAGGACTAAGTATATACTAAATAGTACATGGTGCTGGTTAAACAGGGCTGGTGAAAAGCTCCAGATTAGAGTAGAAGAAAAGTAGAGCAGAGCCAGTAAAAAAGGGGTAAAGATCAAAACAACTCAAATGCTTAAGAAAACAAGAAAATAGACACAACAATCACACATTCAAATCCTCAATAATCACAGCACAATAAAAAAAAAACAGTGAAGACAATAATCTTTCAGTTGTTTGCACATGGATTGAGAAGCCTGTCTCACATTTTCAGGAAGACTGTTCCAGATTTTAGCTGCATGAATCTGAAACAATTATTAAAGTATTTATTTTTTATTAATTCATGTATTTGACAGGGACAGTCAACATAGAACTAAACAAGCTTGTTTATAACTTGAATAGCAAGCAGTATCATAGCACAGTGGTATGCAAATAATTGAACATTTTACGATTTCTTAGTATGCTCCATTTCTTTCTGTTGACCTTAACGCACTCTTGAACCTGCACTTCTTAAAGTTGAAGGCTGCTTTTGTTAACCAGCCTCCCTGCTGCGTCAAAGAATAAAAACCAGACATTATTCCCCCGTGAGTCAAAAGGCCACGACCCCATGTGCCTTTTCCTGCAGGTTGTATGAGGTTAGCGTCAGTTCAAGCTACCGTTCTCCACCAATCACCTGCCAACCTCATTCTTTTATTTTGGATTTCTCGTCTTTCTGGTTGGCATGGGTTTATGACTTCCTATGCCTTCTTCTCCTCTCCTTGTGTGTAAGAGCCCGGGCGGCGATTAGCTTTGGCTCCCACATGTCCGTGTAGCGCTGGAGTTGGTGCCGAGGTGCGTGGACTAAATGTGGCTTTGTGTTTCTCAGCTGGCATCAATCAGAGGGTGCGCGGAGCTGAGCCGCTGCCAACAATGAAGCCCTTGACTGGACTAGGCCCTTTTATCAATATGCACACTCACTCGCAGAAGGTCTGGGGCGGTGTGTGTGTGTGTGTGTATCCCTGTGTGAGGTTCAGAAGTAAAGTCTTGTGAAGTGTGGTGGATGTAGCGCAAAGGGATCTCAAGAATTCATGTTCAGGGGAAAATGTGGTTTCCAATGGGTTTTAAAGAGGCAAATATTGACTATTTCTATACACCTGGGGGATGTTTCATTGCTTCCTTTCTTCCTTGTTCTTTTGTAAACAGTCTTTGAGTGTTCAAAAAAGCACTGTATAAGTACCAGGCTACAGGCTCTTGTCCAGTGGATAAGAATACTGGGAATAAAGTAAGCAAAAGTAGACTTAAAGACCAGTGTTGTGCGTGAACGAGTTCAAAAGAACGCGTTCATTGAACACGCACATTTTTTCGTGAACGTTGAACTGAACGCAACACATTTTTAAAAAAAGAACTTGAACGTGAATTAGTTCATTTTATGTGTCATGAACGGCAGACATCACTATGAACGTTTGAATCTGTTTTCTCTTTTGAAACGCAACGAGAGAAAGTTCCTCCCTCCCGTATTCTCGCACTTTTTCCGCCGAAATCTAAAACTTCCTACGGTTTCCACCGTCTGTGAACGCACCCCATCTCTGTGTTGCGGTGCGGCACTGTGAGCTATTGATTTTCACATGTGCCCAAGTCGTGATGAAAACAAAGGGTGAGTTAGCGACAAAGTTTACACCGTTTACATTTGACATAAAGTATAGACACACGCACTGCAGCGCATTACTGTTTGTAGTTTATGAGCAGAGATGGGACAACTCTGTTTTGCTCCCATTGAAAACCATGTAAATCTTGTCTGTTTTGTAGTCAAAAGGCTCTCCTCCTGTGGGTGTACAGGAGATATATACACATATACACACATACAGTATATATATATATATCTCTCGTAGTGTGCAAAAAGTATTTATTTGACTATTTCACAAAAAAAGAAAATGAACTGAACTTTGAACTAGTTCAGAATTAAAATTGTGAACTTTGAAAGTGAACTGTTCACTTTGAGCATATATGAACTGAACTTGAACTAGTTCAGAAAATCTGTGAACTGGCACAACACTGTTAAAGACAAACATATCCAGGGTTAGCCTGGTTGTACCACACCTTAGTACAAATTACAT